CAGCAGGACGTGGGATCTGGCTGAACGTATGACTCATGGGAGTTGCTGTAAGGAAAATACAAGGGGGAGGACAACGTAAGAGGCTTGGGTTTAGTGAACAGGTCCCATTAAATGCAGGTCCCGTGGCTGGGAATGGCTGTTGCTGGGTGGAACCAGCAACAAACAGTGGAACAGGGAGCGGGCCAGGATGCTGCAGCAAGTGATAATGGGCTTGTTCTGTCTGCAAGTGCCTGGGGGAGTTGGCTCAAGGTAACACAGGCCATTGGTGTTTGTCTCTATCTCACCAGCAAGTAATTGGCTTGGGGAGGCAGATAATGTTTTATTCACTTTCCTTGGAAAGGCAAAGCAGTTTTGGCCAGTTAACCAGGGAAAACCTGGTCCTTGACTTTGACAAATGCCTCTCCACCATCATAAAGCATTTCTGCATACTTTTTATTGCAGCGAAGTCACAGAGTATTTAGGAACAGGCTTATTTATTGTTGGGATCAGGATAAAACCAGCACACGTTTGGCAGCGCTTTCTGCAGAATATACTCAAGGTTTTCCCCCCCTGCACAAAAGCCTTCAAGCTGCCTGGATGTTTTCCATGCACTCCACTCGGTCAAGATACTGATGTGCCTTTGAGCTGTAGTTTTCTCCTTGACCCCTCTGTGCTGTCACTCTGCAAATGGGCTCAGGAAACATCCTAGGGCTGGGTATGGGGAGTCAATCACAGCCCCCCAAAAGCCTGGCAGAGGTAAAGGGTCTGGTGGTCCCCAAAGATGCTTGTGAAAGGGTGAATTGTGTCTCATTCTTTACAGATCAAGAGAGAGGGGAAGGGAAATCCACGTCTGGATCAGAACTGGTTTACCCTTCCGGATGGTAGGCGGATTCCAAGTGGAAACCCAGGGTCTGGAGAGCTCAATTTGACGTTTTCTCTTCCCTTTCGGTGTCAAAGCAGCAACTACAGAGGTGAGGAAAGTTGTGTCACGGTACTGTGGGATGTTTGGCTTGCCAGGTGTTGCCAGCTTCCTTGAGGCTTAAAAGCACCTTTACATGACAACAACAATGGAAATGCACATTTTTTTCTGCATGGATGCTTAAAAGGCTGGAATTGTTCTCTGATGCTGGGGGAGAGCAGCAGGAATGGAGCGGGCAAGGGTTGGGTGCATCTCTGCTACCGCAGGCACATGGGACACATCTGGGAGCAGGACACACTGGCCACTGAGCCCACTGAGCCCCCATCCTGGTCCTGCAAAGGGCTTTGCCTTGGGTGGGTGCCCCAGCACCTCTCAGACCCCACATTCCCCCTGTAAAGCTTCACTGCTGCATCCTCCCAGCCCTTCCCGAGCACCCACACAGCTTTCCCATAGGGGATACCTTCCCCATGGAGCTACGGGGTCCTGGCCCTGGGGTCCAGCGGCACAATCCCATGGGAAGGAGGCAGGAAGCAGGCAGGACCAGTGCAGTTTGCAGCCGGGTGTTTTGGGAACCGATGACTCAGCGACACCCCTGGCCCTGGCCCCGCTCGGTCATTCCCAGGAAGCGGCTTTTCCACGGAGGAGGAGGCCGAGTCCCAACTGTTTCCCAGTTACTGACGATGCTCCCTGTGCGTGGGCCTGGAGGAGCCGCAGCCGCTGGCTCAGCTCTGATTCACTGCCCTGACACACCATAAAACCCTCTTGGCATGCGAGGGAGCCTCCCAGACATCCCTTCTGCTCCGAGCCCCTCTGGAGGGCCCCCGTGAGCCCCTGTGCAGAGCAGGGATGCAGACGAGCATCATAAAGGCATTGCAATAGGTGGCATTTGGTTTTGATGCCTTGGAAGTGTCACGGTACCTTGACATCCCTTGCAAGTGGTGGCTTCTTCCTTACTTGCAAGTACTTACTGTTGGATAGGGATGACTCCGGGGCATGCCACAGCAGAGCATTGTCACACTGAGCCCCAGGTACCAGCTTGGTGTAAGGCTCAATGGAAAGAAGGGTTTATTCTGGGCTGTGTGTTGTGATTCTGGGTTTTAGCACAGATATATGGCAACTGTGCCATCTCCTGTTGGCTGCAGTGTTTTGGAGGCTTTCCTTCTAATGAATAGCCTGTCCATCACTGCAAAGTGACACTGTGGCATCATCTTCCTGCTTTGAAACCCCAAACCAGCTCTATTCTGTGAAAGCCACACATAAATCTCACCGCTTTATGGCTCTTCATTCCCATTTAACACAGCTCATAACAGAGGTTTTTCTTGTGCAGCCCCAGATGAAATATGCCTCTTATGTCCCTTTTAACATGAGGGTGCTTGTGCTTATCCAGGAGTATCCAGGGTGCACCCATGGTGCTGAGCGCCTGTAGCTGGGGGTGAAACAGCTCCATGGTTCAGCTGAAGAGTCAATTTTTAACTTGCCCCATTGCTCAATGGTGTGGAAGGGAAACTTGCCCTGGAGGTGTTGCCACTGACTGGAGCACCCCATCCCTTAGCACACAAACAGCCATGCGAGGGCTGGCCCGGCTCCGCTCTGGACTCTGCTCTTGTTGTCTGTGTTTGATTTCACCATAAGGTCACAGCACTGGGGAGCATCCCCATCTCCCCCTGAACAGTGGGACCCTGGACTTGCTCCAGCCTCATCTTCCCATCAGCAGGATGTGGCTTTTTGGGGAGATGGAGACGGGTGTTTAATGGGGAGCACAGATTGCAGGACCTCTGCACTGTCTGCACTAACCGACCCCCCTCTGCTTGTGTGGAAAAGGCTTCTGCTTGGTTTCTCTCTTGGCTTGCTTAGGTTCTCCCTAGGTCCTACAAGCTGGGAGTGAGCAACCACTGTCCCTATGGCGCTCCTGCTGATGGCAAAGCATTAGAGAAGTGGGATAAAATTAGCTATTCAGACACACGTTCCTCAGGATGCCGGGACACGGGGACACCCAGTACAGCCAGTTTGACTCATAGAGAAGAATTAATGGAAACGCCCGGCTCCTGAAGGGAGGAAATTCCTCGAACAGCCTTTTTCCTCCGTTTGTTGGTGGTGAAGCTGACAATGGGCTGTCCCGGGAATGCCGCGCGCGCACTGGCAGACACCGAGTCTGGTGCTCCGGAAAGGCCCAGCCCCACGGGGTGACCTGCGCTGTTCCCATATGGATCGTGTCAGGATCACACACTGAAGCATCGCTCGGGATGCGGTGAGCACGGCGTCACCGGGGCAGGGTGCTGGGAGCCACCCGTTGCAGCAGCAAAGGGACCTGTGATGGGTGATGGCTGGGTGCCTGTACCTCATTGATAGCAATTTAAAGCAATTAATTGTGATTCCTCTGGAGCCATTGCGTGGTTCCCACAACACAAACATGCCAAGCACAAGGCAAACTGCCCTTTTCCACTGTAAAAACCCCAGTAACATCTTTTTTGTAAGTGGCCTTTATTCATCAGGGATGCCACTTGGAATAATGATTTTGATGTAATGAGACAAGAGGGACTCTAAAGTCACAGGATCTTATCAATCATGTTATGCAAATGCTTGGGAGCAGGAATGCCTGGGTGATCAGAGGACATGCTTCCATCAGAGCTGCTTTCAGCCTGCTGCAAGCTTCCTTTAGATTCATTTAGATTCATTTTCTATACAAAAAAGGCCCCAGCAGTCGCTCTGCCCATGTCCCACAGCACCAGCATCCTTGTGTGTGTCCCATTACCAGCCCCTCTCCCTAAACTGGGAGACTCTCCCTGTGGAAAGCTCCATGGTCCAGGGCAGGCGATGGGATGAGCAAAACCCCATCAGCAGAGCCAGGGATGTGGGAAGCAGTGGGACAGCACAAAGCTAATTTGGTACCCACGGAGGGGGCTCTGAGAGCATCCGCTTGCAGCAGGCGTGTTGGGATCCCACCTATAACACAGCCCAGAGGCAGATGGATTCAGTGGCTGCATCACCCAGCTGGGTTTTGAGTGTTTGTCACACAAGAGACGGCTCCAATGGGAAAACCTGCTGGAGTGGGAGGAACGATGCTGCATCCCGAATGCCTGGGGCTGCTGCATGGAGGCTCATTTGGCCTTTTTTGGGAATAGCCCATTTGAGGCAGTTTGTGTCACTGAGGATGGCTCTGCAGGGACGTGTCATGAGCCGGTGAAACAGCCGCATGGGACAGGTTGAATGCCAGAAAACTGGAGCAAATCCCACACTGGAGCAGATTCCTCTGAGCAAGGATACTTCTGGAAAGCCTTTGGAAGCACTTCCAGAACATCCATCCCAAACCAGGCATGATCCAAGCTCTTATCACCCCAGGAGCCATGCCCAGAGAGGTCTCTAGAGGTGATGTGGGTTGCATTCCCTGGCCTTGTGCTTTCAGGGATGCTGGGGTATCCCTCCCCGTGCTATAGGTAATGACAATTACCCATGCTATTAAAGGATTACTTCCAGTCCCCCTGACTTACAGGCGATTCGGAGTTCCTACCAAGGGCTGATCTCTCATTCTTCTGCGTTGTTTGATCTGTGTTGCTGCGAGCAGAGTCATGGGAATGTTTTATTCTAACCCAGCGGGTTATTAAAGGACGTGCTTATAAATAACCAGTCTTGGCTATTTTTAAGTATTTTCAACATAGTCTATCAGGATAGTATGGCATAATCTGCAGGAAAACCGAGTCCGGTTCTGCTGCCAAGCTTTCATAACTCACTTCTGTTTCTTTGGAGCCAAGTCTGAGCTCTCAGTCTGTGCTGCAGGAACACTAAGAGCCCAGAGGAGCGCTCACTGTGGCTCAGGACTGGTTGTTCTCTAACCTGATCCTCCTGTTACCCTATTGAAAGGGATGGCATTGTCGTAGGTTACACAGGGGGAATGAAATCTATAGCTAAATTCGGTGGGGTCTTTCATGGGACCATGGGTCAGACTCTGGTGCTGCTGATGGAGCTGCACCCAGTATTCATTGATGCTGGGGGGGGCTGCAGGCTCAAGGAGCATCAAGGAGAGGTGCATGTTATCTGCTCCGTATGAAATGACCAAAACCATATAACCCCACTCCTCCAGCAGAATTCATTTCAGACAAGCGAGTTGAGATTTACTTCTTAATTTATTACATTTCACATTGCTGTAAGCAATAAATTATAGTCAATATAATAACGTTGTCACAAAACATTACCACGAAGCACTCGCCTAACAGATACTGTAATCTACACACATAAGAACTGTAGGTATGCTATTTAGATTCTCGGTGTTAATGGGAAGTGAACAAAATATTAAGGAACTTCACAGTAAATTCAGGGAAACCATGTCATTATTATTGCTTCTGTGCAAACATTTCTACTGCTGGAGAAAGAGAAGGATCAGATGCGCAGTGTGTTCAGAGCGTTCCCTGCTGCACCCATCCAGTGCACTGGGTGATCCATGATGGGTCTCCAGAGCCTCCATCCCAGCCCTGCCAGGGCTCAGCCTTTATGGAAACCAGTCTGGAAAGGCAAAGGCTGGTGCACACCGAGTCCATGGGAAGGTCTCGAGTCGCACCCAGCATGCAGGATGGGTCAGGACCATCGTGCAGGACCATGCAGTGCCCCACGGCCGCCTCCCGCCGGGAGCTGCCATCCCTATGGAGCCTGCAGCACCATCGGCACCGCTGCTGCTGCTGCTGCATGCGCGGTGGCCGCAGCCCTGCTGTCACATCCCCTGTCCCGCAGCAGCTCGCGTGTGGGATGGGAGCTCACAAACAGTCCTGTCCTGAAGCGTTCTCCTCCATTTCTGCTCAGTGGACTTTAATGGAGTACTTCCGAAGCGTCAGGAACTGGAGCAGCTTGTCTTTCCTCCTCTGCTTTAACGCCATTAGCGCTCTCGTTTTCTCCTCCACGTCCTGGTCGGTGGCGAGGATGATTTTGGCTCTTTCCTCCGCCTTCTTGTCCCCGGAATTCCTGAAGAGTTTCTGCAGGGACTCTTGGTTGACGCTCTCGAAGATGTTGGCCACGGCTTTCTTGCGCAGGGCTGTGTCGAAGCGGTACCCGTGCACCGAGGGGCTCACGCGCAGGGATGTGGACATGGCTGCGGCTCTGGAGCTTCTCTTCGCTTTCATCTACGTGGGGTGCAGCCGGGTTTGCTCCCGGTTGGGTCGCTCGGTCGATCCGAGCCGTGCTGGCTCCCAGGACCTGTATTTAAAGGCAGGCAGGAGGAGAAAGCCCGAGGCTCAAGTTACAGCGATGAGCTCACGCTGATGTCAACACCGGATGGTCATAGGCGAGTTTAACAGTTGAATTGCCAACTTGCCGCTGTCCCGCAGCCGAGGGGGGAACACTCCTGGAGTGTTCTGCAATGGGAATGGTTTTCCTTTGACCAGGGTTTGTGCAGCTTCAAACTGAGGGACTCCTTCAAGAACGTGTTCAGCTCCTGGCCCTTTGCTGTGGTGCCTTCAGGGTACATCATCAACAGTTAAAACTCTTGCAGCACTAACAGCTACAAGCCAGTGCATGCAGATGAGCGCTTGTCTGTGCCTCTGTCTACACAGCAGAACAAAACCTGCTTAGGCCCAGGCACGGGATGCTTTCTGCTGCTTCCCAGATGATGCAGCCCCTGTTCAGTGCTGTATCTTCCAATTGGCAAGGGGTGTATTGAAGGCAGCGGATCCATAATGTCCTCTGAGGTGACTTCCAGGGGTGTTGCACCCCGCATGGCCATGCTCTCACTGGGGTAAATCTCTGCCCCACGTCCCACTCCTGCCTTGGGTATCCGTTGTCTTCAGTTTTCAGCCCATCGATGCAGCTCCTCTGCTCCCATAGTTAGTGCTCTCCACACCACCCTTACCCAGTGCTAAGCTTTAGGGCTGGGAGGTCTCACTCTTAATATGGATTAGTTTTAGGGGTTGGACTTGATGGTCCCTATGGGTCCCTTCCAACCCGGGATCTCCATGATGCCCTCTCCCTGAGGATGTGGATGGGATGGCTCTGACTGTGCACCTCCTGCTGGGCTTAGGAATCTGGTATTACCGAGCACAACTAAATCTGGCCCAAAAGAGCAGTGGGCTCAAAAGCCACTTGAAGCCAGGGATCCGGGGATAAGTGTATTAAGGCTGTTGGCTTAAAAGCAGCCGGATGCTGCAGAGGCACTGTTTGGAAACCGGCTGCTTGTTTATTGGTGGTGGTGGTGACCCTGTTACTCATCCTCAGCGAGGAACTCCAGAAATAGCCTCCATCCCCACAGCCCAGGGGGTTCCCTTCTATAGAGGGAGCTGTGGGGTGATGTCTGACCGCAGTGATGAGCAGACCCTATGTAACATCACCCAGTCGATGGAATTCCTTCTGTTTGTGCTGCCTCTTACGTGCTTTAGTGTATAAACAACCCCATTGCAACCCCCTGCGATTCTCCTCCTGCCAGAAAGGCTTTAAAGCCTCTCAGTTTGCTGTAGTCTTGCTGAGTTTGTGTGGATTACACCTCAGTTGCTGTTCGCTCAGTATTGGCAGGCCTGGTAAATCCACCCGGAAAATGGGATCGTTTCGATGTGGCTCTGGGAAAGAGCCTCATGGTTAACCTGAAATATAAGGGAGAGTAGCAGGAAGGAAGGATTGTGGTCCTCTGATGCAAAGTGCTGCCTGGAGCACTGTGGGAAGGGAAGGCCTGCCTGTAAAAGTGGCTGAACAAGTGCTAGATGTACTTTGCTTTGCTGGGCAGATAATGCCGTTTCTGGGTATTTAGGGCAAAAAATAATGCCAGAAGATGGCCTTCATACCAGCATTCCAGTGTCTAAAGGGGGCTACAAGGATGCTGGAGAGGGGCTCTTCATCAGGGACTGGATGGGATAAGGGGTGATGGGTTCAAACTGAAAGAGGGGGAGTTCAGGTTGGAGGTAAGGAAGTTCTTTACTTAAATGCTCCATCCCTGGCAGTGTTCAAGGCCAGGCTGGACAGACCTGGTGACGTGGTCTAGTGCGATGCATCCCTGGGGGTTGGAACTGGATGCTCTCCTGCTCCTTTCCAACCCAAACCATTCCATGATTCGATGATTCTAAGATCAGCTGTGATGCTGTAGCTGCAGAAAATGAGTTCTTTGTCTGCCCTGGTTGCAACCCAGAGCTGAGGCACGTTAACACGCGCCTGCTTCCCACCGCTCCCACTGCACATGGGATCCTTCTGCAGGTATTTGCAGAGGGAGGCACGGCTGAGAGCATAAATTACCCACACTTGTGGAAGGCACGAACTCAGGAGAGGATCTGCCATGGAAACCGAGCCGAAAGCCGATGCTTTGGGAGCAAGGCATCAGAAAGCTGCCAAGATGAAGCACGCGTGTTCCCGTGAGCTCATCTCGCGCTGAGCAGTGACAAATGCCTTTGCCCCTTCAAGCTTCTGTGCCCACTTTGTGTAAATTTAGTTGTGCTCAGCTCTGACTGAGGCATGAAGCATCCCTCATCTGGGTTTTTTTTCCAGTAATTTTTGTTTATATCCATCTTTTAATGCTGCTTTTCCAGTAATACCCAGGAGGAATTATTCATGTGTTGGAACGGAGCAAAACTTCAGAGAAGATGCGATTGCTATCACCGCTCTCCTGCTATTAGTGCATAATTGCTTTGAGAAACGCAATTGCTCCATTTCACACATTAATGGGAGGATTAATTCCTACCCAAACCGTCTCTGCAGAGCAGCTCAGCCCCATCCCTAACCGCGCTCTGCCTCTCATGATGTGATGGGCTTGGGGCGCTCCAGGCTTTGAAGCTGAAGCACTTATGGTAGGCTGTAGGCTAAGCCAAGCCTCAGGGTCTCAGTCAGAGCTTGCAGTTGCTGTGGGGAAGATCCAGGGAGGATGGTGCCTGTGCCTTGCTGGTGATGCAAAGGGTGGTTAAATAGACCTGGAGGCATCTCTGGCTCAGAGCTATGGACTGCAGGACCCCAGCTGCACCATTATGGGAGAGGGGAAGGTAAAGCAGGGTCCTCACCAGGTCAAACACCATGTGAGGGGCTTTTGGAAGCCCCCATTCCCGAAAGCAGGAGGTGGAGGGAAGGCCGGGGCAGGCAGTGCCTTTCCCGCAAACTCTTGCAGAGAGCATAGTCTGCATTCATGTAACTGTCCAAAATCACTCCAAAGAAGGTAATTCGGGATGTCTTTGCATTTTGCTGGGGCATGTTTTGCATAGCTTTCCTTTCACTAGCCTGCCGAAGCCTGCACAGCTTGTAATACCACATTGGCATCAGGAGATACAGCAGCTCCCTAGGAGAGCATCGGTGCTAACAGAGACCTACCCAGCTGAGTGTGAAAGAGCCTAAAACTGAGTCTTTGGAAGGGTTTGGAACAGGAAAAGAAGTTAAATTATTGCATATATATATATATTGCCTATATATATATATTATGGTTTAGCTCTTTAGCTCTGAAATGCCCAGGAGCCTGTCATGTGCACCCAGGTCATGCGAATGGGCAGTGCTGGCCCCAGCTCCCCATCCTGCCCACTGTGTGTCCTGTGCCTCATCTGCACAGACCCCCCCCGGCTTCTGGTTTGGTTTTCTGTGGTTGTTGGTTGTTTAACAGAGCATCTGGGAGCCCTCGTCCCCCATCCCATGGCAGGAAGCTGTGCCCTTTGCTTACACAACCCCAGAGCTTAACTCAGCCACGTGTGGGCTCCCTGTGGCTTGTGCTGTGGCCCCCACTGGGGATGTGCTGTACAGGGGGATGTGATTTAAGGGCAATTCTGCTGCAGCTCGGTTGCTGGATAGTAAAAGCATTTTTCAGACCATCCTGCTCATGTGGATTTAAGATCCTGCTTAAAAACCAGACAACAGAAGACATGATTCAGCTGCTTAAATTCCATCGGAAAAGTTTCTAGTAGGGAAAAAGAGTGTACACCGTGTCTGTTGAATACTGTTCTTTATCCTGCCTATGAAAACTAAATGAGATGCTGGCTTCTGGGCTGCTAAAACAGGCATTGTTCTATCTATCAGGTGTATTCTGCACAGCATAAACCTGTGCTGCAGCCTCCTGCGAGCAAGAGCATCTTCTGTCACCTCCTGATAGCCACACTCGTCATAGGGCTCCCTCCACCCTGCATTCATCTCCTTCACCCTAACCTGTGCATCCATTCTGCTGACATAAGGGATAAACCAGCAACAGCCCAGCTGCTCCAACAAACTGGTGCCATGCACAGAATAACAGCTTTCCATGGTGTCAGTGCAGGGGTGCAGGTTGGGCTGGCTTGAGCTGGCTGTGCCCATGTGTGAGCCCTGCAGGAGCGGAGCATCGAGCGCTGCACGGACACCATATAAGAGTAAAGTTTGTGGTGTTACTGATAATGAATGTCTCCTCATTTCTCATAAATCCTCTGCTAAATGCACGATCACCAAGTTAATAATGCAGTGCAGGACATAATGAATAGCCAGTTACAGTAAGTAAATCATGCCTGCGGAGAAACAGAAACTTCTGGCACTTTGAACCCTTTTAAAGCAGCCCTGCACTGAGCAAAGCTGGCCTGAGGACACGTTGACTTCTGGCATGGAACTGGTCTGCAGACCAGCTCCCCATGCCCTGCTACGAGGGAAAGTACTTTAATATCCTGACTCCAGCATCTTCCTCCCGTGTCAGCAAGACTGAGCGCGGCGAGGACAGTTTAGACTCCCAAGCACGAACCCTCCCTTTCTTTCTGGCCTGAATTTCCTGTTGGATCTTCCTGAGGTTCCCCAGGTCCCCCTGGGCAGAGCAGGGCCGAGGCAGAGCCGTCTCCACTTGTCAGACACCGCATTGTCTGCTGCCGAGGGGACGGGCTCACGGGAAATCCTGCCTTGGGGCTGGGACGCGGCGCTGGCTCAGGCCATTGTCACAGCCCAGCCCACGGGCGACAGCACCAGACACACGTCCCATGCTCAGTGCCCCCCTCATTAAGGCTCTAATCTCTGCTGAGCCGCTTCCTCTGCTGTGCAGGGGTGGCAGACAGGATGTGTGCTTTGTACTGCTCCGGTTCGGGGGGCCCTGGGTGCCCCCAGTGCTTCCAGAGACGTGGCTGCAGCCCAGGGCTGCATCTCCAGAGCCAGATGTGTGAGAGGGCATGGCAATGGCAGGAGCCAGATGTGTGAGATGGCATGGCAATGCTGGGAGCCAGATGTGTGAAATGGCACAGCAATGCCAGGAGCCAGATGTGTGAGATAGCACAGCAATGCCAGGAGCCAGATGTGT